ATTTCGTAATGTTGTTTATTTCTCTTATCGCGAATACTTTTTAGACAGAGGGGTAGTTTGGGAAGCGAATATATTTATTTAAAGACTTATAATGCATTTATTAAGTTATAAACCATGCAACGTTTACTTATAAGAAAAGCTTCACACATTACGCAGATGTATGTATACGTAGGGCGCAATTAAAAGTGTTTGGATGAACACTTGGGTGAGACCTAATATAATTTTTAAAATGAATGTAAGCAAATATCTTCTAGATTAGGTGAAGTTCCTGAAACTTGCAGTAAAAGTGGCATGCGAACATTACATCATATATTTGTTCGTTCCCACGACAGTCGGGTCTACGCAACCGGAACAACCCAGATTTATATCATGGATATCCATGTTATATCTGGTCCAGGACTGTAACTCCAGCAAAACCGCAAAAATGTTTGGCGAATTTGTATGATAATACTACAACAACAATAAAGAATTCATCAAATCGGAAAATAAATAACTGCTTGTGCAAACTCGAAAGAAATCTCCTCATGAAATTTCTCCAAGTCAAGGCACATTAATAATTAATATGCCTTGCTCCGAGAATTTGATCTTTAGCGCACGTTAAGTACGCAGAATGAAATAACAGTAACGGAAAATTTTAGTATGCGGACGGCAAGAAAGTGAAAAAGTGTGGATGAGGGGGGTTAGAATAGGTCTCCCTGATTTCAAAAATACCCCCTTTTTTCTAGCAACCCTATAGTTTTTATATAATTTGGTGTTAAAATTTTCGTATAAACGATCAATAAAATAGCAATATAACATCAAACTTGGTGCTGCCAGACTGGAATTTTGAATAATAAAACCAGATTTTTAATTCGGAATTTGCACTTAGTAGAATTCTCCTTTATGTATTGCCGAAGAAGAAGTGCTGGACACCTTTTGCAGAGAACTCCCGTCTGCGTAGGAGGCCTTCTGCCGCACTTAGGGATTATAACCCTCACTAAGTAGAATTCTCCTTTCTGTATTGCCAAGGAAGTGGGCTGCACACTATTTGCAGAGATCACATTTCTGCGTAGGCGGGCTTCGGCCTCACTTAGGGATTATAACCCTCACTACGTAGAATGTTCCTTTCTGTGTTGCTGAAAAAAGGGGGCGGGACACCATTCTGTGTGGGCGGCCTGCGGCCGCACTTAGGAATTATAACCCTCACTACGTAGAATTCTTTCTATTGTATTGTTTTGTACAGTATGGCAACACATGTTGTTGTTGTTGTAGCGGCTACAACAACCGCGCCCAGATCGGTTGATATCTCAGTCGTTGTCGTCAAGTTCCACTAACGGCAGCCCTAGGAAGCGTGCAGCCTCTGTCCACAAGGACAAAGCCGTTAGGGTTGTCGGGTTTTCCGGGCATGCGAAAAGATGTTTCGAGTCATGTGGGGTCTCTCCGCATGCCGGACACTCATTTGGCACATCCTCATTCAATCTACTTAGGGAGGAGTTTAACCTGCTGCAGTAGCCAGAGCGAAGTTGGGCTATTGTTGTTCGTGTCTCCCGAGGCAGAGGAAGCTCGGTCTCGTCTATGTCCGGTGGTGGTGTGCCTAGAAAGGCATTCACAGGTCTAGAGTCTACATAACTCGAGACTGACTCCCCGTGAATGCCGTTCAGGGCCAGTCGGTAGGCTCACGGGTCCAGATGTTGCTTGATGAACCTCTGAACTTCGTCCGTCAGTTCGTATAGATGCCTCCTGACGGGACTAGGCGAGGGCTCCTCTGCAAGCAGCTGTCTGTTTGGGGTGGCCACTCCTGTGGCTCCCGATTAGAAACTGGTTGAATAGCATTATGTTGTGCTCCTTTATGGGGAGCATTTGCGCCTCGCCGTGCAGGTGGTGTTCAGGCGACATCAAGAGGCATCCCGTCGCTGTCCTGAGTGCGGTGTTTTGTACAGTCTGTAGCTTCGTCCACTGCGTCCTACTAGTCCCTGGCGACCACACTGGCGCTGCGTAGTTCAAAACCGGCCGGCCTATTGCCTTGTATGTTGCCAGCAACGTTTCTTTGTGTTTGCCCCAAGTTTTGCCGGCTAGCGACTTGAGGGCCTTGGTGCGGCTCTGTACTTTATGTTGTTGTTGTTGTTGTAGCGGCTACTAAGCCCCGTTCGGGGCGGTTCATCCATCATCGTTGTCGTCTATTTCAGCTAGGGGGAGGCCCAGGAAGTGTGCTACTTCCAGAGGGCCTGTCCATAGGGACAGGGGCGTTAGCTGAGTGGGATTCTCAGGGCATGTGAAGAGGTGCCGGGAGTCATGTGGCGACTCTCTACATGCCGGGAATTGGTTGGGCACATCTTCGTTGATTATGCTCAGGTAGCTATTAAGCCTGCTGCAATAGCCAGAGCGAAGCTGGGCTATTGTGGTGCGGGTCTCCCGAGGCAGACAAAGTTCTGTCCCGTCCACGTCCGGTGGTTGTGTGCCTAGAACGGCATTCACAGGGCGGGAGTCTACATAACTTGAGACTGATTCCCTGTGAATGCCGTTCAGGGCCTGTCGGTAGCTTGACGGGTCCAGAGGTTGTTTAATATACCTCTGGACTTTGTCTGTCAGTTCGTAAAGATGCCTCCTGACGTGCCGCGGCGAGGGCTCTTCCGCGAGCAGTGGCCCTCTGTACTTTATTGACAATAGCGGTTGCGTGCGCAGAGAAGGAGAGCAGCCTGTCGAATGTTACTACGCGTATTTTGGGATTATTCACCGTCGAAATTGGTGTGTCATCGACGTAAATTCCTAGCGGTAGACCTCCTTCGTCCAGGTTGTGAACAGGGTCGCAGAGGATTTCATAGGGGAGAGGGCTAGAGACTTTGCAGTGAAAAAGCGAGAAAGCTCGGAGAGATAGCCGTTTACTTTCGAACACAGGTTATCAATTCCATTCCCAGTCGCCATGATCGAGCAATCGTCGTGGTAAGAGACAATCGAGACTCCCTCTGGTGGTTGAGGGAGCTTTGAAATGTAAAAGTTAAACAGTAGCGGGGAAAGGACACCACGCTGTGGAACCCCCTGTTTTATTTTTCTAAGTTTAGTCGATTTGTCTCTAAACATTACCGACGAGTATCGACCACTCAGATCATTTGCCGACCACCGTTTGAGCCTCTGTGGGAGAGAGGAAGCCTCTATATCTTCTTGCGTGGAATAGCAGACGGTATCGAACGCCTTTGCCAAGTACAACGCTACTAGAATCGTTCTCTCACAGGGACGGTTTCGGTTAAGGCCACGAGTTATCTGAGCGTTTATGGCGTTAAGTGCTGTTGTTGTACTGTGCACTTTACGGAAACCATGCTGATGCTTCGCTGGGGTCAAGTGGTTTGTGAAATACGGGAGTAGCAAGGCCTCGAGTGTCTTCGCTACCGGGGAAAGGAGTGTTATCGGACTAACAGAATCTCCTATGTTGGCAGGTTTCCCCGGTTTGAGCAGTACCCCCGCAGGACTCAAATTTTTCAGCATCAGCAAGCATATTTCGTCGGGACCCATGGCTTTGGAGGCTTTTGCCTTCCCGATGGCCACCTGAACTTCACCGCAAGTGAAAGCAAGGTGGGCACAGGTTGTTGGCAGTTTGTGCAGCCTTCTGGTCAGTCGATGCTTTGCTTTGTCCACCGGAGGATGCAGTATGAACTGTCTGCTAAAATAGCTCGCGTATCGCTCCGGGTCCGACGAAGCATGGTTACCGAAACAAATCCCTAATACGGAGATTTTCGGTTTCGGCCTGATGAAGGTTGTCAGGCTCATCGGCTAGAACAGCCGCTTCAGCAGGGAACTTTGGACGGGAGTCCGTAATGTATCCTGCAGGTACGAAGCGAGCTGCAGCAGCAGTGACGACCCTGCGGAACTTACGTTCACCAAGGTGGACGGCGGTTGGTGAAGGGAGCACATCGAAGGTGGTCTCAGTAAATTGCGCGAAGCCTTTCCAATCAGCTTTAGAAAAGTTGATATAGGTCCGGTGTTCCGCTGAAGCAAAGTCGGTTGGTTTATCAATCGAGATGACTATGGGCAGATGGTCTGATGCCAAAGTCAGCATAGGTTGCCATGATATGCTGTTTATCAGACCAGCGCTGACTATTGTTATGTCTGGCGAGCTGCAGCAGCTGCCCATAATCCTGGTGGGTGCGTCGTCGCTTATTGTGCAGAATGTCGTTGAATCGTCTATCTGCTCAGCCAAGTCGGTTCCCCTACGATCGTTTGACAGGCTTGAGTGCCAAAGATCGTGATGCGCATTAAAGTCACCTACTACCATACGGTTTTCACCTCTGAGGAGCGCACCTATGTCAGTATGATATCCTGCCGGGCAGCAGGTGACAGGGGGTATATAAACGTTAAATATTTCGAGCTCAACATCGCCTGACCGGATAGCAATGCCCTGACGTTCTAGGGTGGTATCCCTGCGGTCGATGTCTGCTTTGATAAGACGATACTGCACGGTGTGGTGCGTGATGAACGCTAAGAAACCACCGTTATATCGCTCGCGATCTCGGCGGTGCATGTTGTACCCGGCACAATTCAACAGTGTTGAATTGGTGTGCAACTTCGTCTCTTGGATCGCATCTATCGATATGTCATGCCTTCCCATGCAGAAGGTTATCTCCTCGATCTTGCTCTGAAGTCCGTTACATTTAAATTGAAGGAGCTTCATGTGGTTCGGGAGACGTGTTGTTATGCGGGGTTTGAGGTTACGGAATATCCTGGTCTGCAATACCGTGCAGATTGTAGGAGGAACCAGGAGTTGTTGGCGGCGGTGTGTGGGTGGTGCGGTGTCTGTTGTGTGGTTTTCCGTGATTGTGGTGTGGTCTTTTGTGTTGTTGTGTTGTGGTGTTTGTGTTGAACTGCTCAGGTGGACTGGGGTTAGCCGTGGAGGCTGCTCTGTTTGAGCAACAGGGGGCTACAAATGATGAGGTCCACTGCCGTTGGTCCGTAGTCCTGAGCAGACTCTGACGTGACTCCACCTGTCGCAAGCATTGCACTTGACTGAGGTGCAGTTGTGGTGTAGTAGTCTCTGGCATACACAGCAGGTGTAGATTTCTTGCCCTGGGTTTGATTCGATGCCAGCCCTGAGTAGAAGAATGCCTAGCAAATGTAGCCCTATGGACGAACAACTTCTGGGATACTTCGCCGACCTAAACGGGGTTAGATCGCCGAAACAACAGCCCTTGGTCGGATAAAACCCGAGTCATTTCGGTACGTAGAACCGGCTGTCGTGGGAAAGATTCCCTCAGCGTTGCTGCTTTGGTAATTTTTAAGCAAAATTGGTAATTTTTTTCTTCATTTATTAAACTTGGTAATTTATTTTTCAATTTGGTAACTTTTTCGATTCGGTCCTACATGTCATGGATGTGGCCCGTAAGCGATTACGTTTGTAGAAATACCAGGTAATAATTTAATGCTAAGAATGAGAGAGACGTCCGCATGTTGAGATGATAGGTCGTATCATTGAAAACCCTGGCTTTTAATTGAAGCCACAAAGTATCTTGATCATTTAAACTTTAAGATCGTTTATTGTTAGGGTGAACTGTCCATTTCTGGAAAAATTTTTCACTTTCTGTGCAAGAAAAGTTCGTGTGGTAAGTCTTTCGTTTAATAATAATATTAGATTGGCGCTTACACATATGTTAGTGTTTGGCCGAGCCTCTCCTCCGAATTGTGGCGTGCGCCGTGATGTTCTCACACAAATCGGAGGGACCTACAGTTTTACGCCGATTCCGAACGGCGATTGTATTTTTATGAGAAGCTGTTTTTCATGGCAGATATACACTCAGAGGTTAACCATTGCCTGCCGAGGGACAACCGCTGTTAAAAAAAACCTTTTTCTATATTTTTTGCGATGTTGATTTGACCAGGGCTTGAACCCAGGTGCTGATGAGTGAAAGCGCGCACTGCTTACCACTACACAACAGCGGCCGAAATCTTTCGTTTAGAATGTCCAAATTACATTTGGACTGAGGTGGAGTTTGTTAGGTTTTATACTGATCTACATCCAAACTGTAGCAATATGGTTTGCGCATACATAAGTAGTAAACAATATTTTGTATGTATTGAATTGACTTACATATGTTAAGATTTTTTCATTTTCAATAAAATATTCAAGCAGAACAGACTAGTTTCCATTTAAACCGTTCTTATTTTACAAAAAGAAAATACTTACATAAGTATATGAAAAATGTCTTCCATATTAAGTGATTTTTTGTCCGAAGATTTCGTGGTTGATCCAACTTTTACCTTATGTGAATGCGGAAGGCGTAAGCGTAATATTTTAAACGAAAATCCTTCTATGCACTTTAATTTTTCATTTACATAAAATGTACGTACATATTATGTACATACATATAATAAATATAAATTTATTTCATTGGAAGTTACTGGAATTCATTGACATTTTCTATATATTTTATATACTACTGGAGTTTCAATTAAGCTTTTTATGTACCCATTTATTTTCTAAAGAAATTAGTGTTATAATTCTATGAAAAAGTGAACGCAAAGATTGCTTTAGATTATCATTATTCACCTCAGGCTGCAAAAATGACTAATTAGTCATGAATAACAGAAAATACTAATGACTCCAACTTTGCAGTCTTTAGTCAAACATGTGATTGATTGACTGCAGTTAAAAAGTGATAGTCAGTGAATGTGACTGCAACGATTTAAAGTCACGAAGACTGCAATCTTTAACACCTCTGGCAAATAAGTAACCGCGACATCGCATCTACATTAGCATTATCATTGGAATTTTTCAACAGGATCTCAAAATCAAAATGTGCCAGAAAAATAGCGTAATATTCCTGTTGCTGACAACAATGGCAAGTCCTTCTGCGGTGAAAATATTTTTGAAATCAGTTTATTGTCCGTCACCAATTTCCGAACACCGAAAATAATAGCATATGCCTCCTTGTCAATTTGCCTATATTTCTGCTGCGTTTTTGTTAGGGTTTGTGACGCGAATTGTAACGGCCTTTCGGAGCCGTCCTCACAAACACGGCTAAGCACCGCACCTACGCCCACGGGACTGGCATCTACTGCCAACACCACGGGCAACTTGTGGTCATAGTGCGTCAAACACAAACTGGACCGCATTTGCTCCTTTACTTCCGCAAATGCGGCGTTCTTCAAGAACGAATTTTACATCATTTTGCAGTAGCTTGTTTAACGGGTATACGGTGTTAATAACAAAAATCATAAATTAATCGTTATTTTGTGATTTTTATTTTTTCGGTAATTTTTTATCGTTATTTTATGATTTTTATTTTTTCGATAACTTTTAATCGTTATTTTGTGATTTTTATTTGTTTGATCATCTTCAATCGTTATTTTATGACTTTTATTTTTTCGATAATTTTTAATCGTTATAGTGTGATTTTTATTTTTTTGATCATCTTTAATCGTTATTTTATGATTTTTATTAGGACTGGGAACTTCATCCGGATTTTTCAACTATCCGGAAAACCGAATATTCAAATATGCGGATACCTAAATGAAAAATCCGGTTACTCTGGAAACTAGGCTATCCGAACATCAGGATTTTTCGTTATCAAAACGATACTTTCATTTCACAATACTAGGCGCTCATAAATGTGTAGTAACAAGTTTTCTATTTCTACGCACGAAATTGTGTGTATAAATTTTTCAATTTCCAAAATTCTTCTTGGGAGTTTCCAAGGCTTCTATAAACGAATTAAAATGTTCAACAAACATATTTATGCGTATAGAAGACTTGCTACTTCCTTGCAAACCAAAGTTCCCGAAATCTTAACGAAAGCTTTAGGAGTTTCTCATTTCTTTAAATGTTTTTTTACGAATCTTCAAAGAAGAATAAAGAAAACTGTGAAAAAAATCTGCAATAAATTTTTCACATAGCAGAATTATTTTGATTTCTTTACAGATTTTCTTCCGAAATTTCGTAAAAGAGTCGAAGTATGCATATTTTATTTCATTTTAGAAAATTCGCCGAAAAATCGGATGAGATCTTTACGAATTCTGTAAAATTTCTCTATAATTCAGAATATTTACTCTGAAAAAATAGTTTGAAAAAAGGATGACAATAATAGTGCCATTTGTTTGTATTGTGACAAAACGATACAAACCAAAGCGTCAACTTCAAGTCCGTCAAGAGCTAATTTACTCTATCGTGTGCATAATTGAATTTACAAATATTATAATCACTTTGTTGATTTTTTTTTAGATATCCGAAAATATGAATATTACCCGGATCTTCGTAAACTAAACCCGGTTATCCGAATAATTGCACAAACGAATATTAACCGGATATCCATACTATCCGGATTTTATTCGTGGCAACGAATAATTCGCATGGATATCCGGATATTCGAATATGCGAATAGTCCCTGCCGTATCAGATATACATACACATGATTCAATTATTAAAGGTTTTGTAATTAGCTTTTCTAAAATTTGATACTGCCACCCACTTAGATGTATTTTTTAATCAGTGGGAAAAGGCGAAGAATACAATCATCTTTAAAAAATTAGCGAAGATTCAAAAAAAAGGTGTTAATAATACTGCATGGTAGTATTTTCTTCAGTTATTTAATTGTAATCAGCTTATTTACATCGAGTATATATATTAAAAATAAATATTTGTACGTACATATATACCAAAGTTGCGAAGAATGGATGGTCCACTTTGGGATAGTTTTCTGTTGTGTCTTTGCCTTGTAATTCTTCGTGGTACTTGTTTTTGGAAGAATTATATAATTTTGATAAAAAAGACACCAGCCCTCGTCTTTTGTAAACGAGCTACAAAAGAACGCTCCAACTCGGCTAACTATATTGTGGCAGCACTTGTAAAAACCGTAATTAATTGACAAAAAGTAAAGAAATCAAGCTGGTTTTTGTAAAAAAGTGTCGTAAACAAAATTAATAAAAAAATTGTCCGGACAATGAAAATATGTACATACATATGTATGTACATAAGTTTATACGAACGTGATCTACATCGTCGGTTGAGAAGTGCCGTA